GTAATCTGATCCTAGATCTGAGGTTCAGGGCATCTTCTTCTCTCATTATCTCATCACCACCACTCAAAATCCACAGGGAAACACAGGTCAAACTAGTAGGTTTTCAACATGAATTAAAACTGTTGTTATCAGGTGTCTTCTTTTGACAAAGTAGATTTTTAAAATAGGTTTAAAGAAGGGAGGCAAGATGACAATTTAGAAAAATGTGCATAGTGAGTGCGATCCATTTGATGGAATAGTAATAGGACAATTGTGTAGAACACACATTGTTGCATTAGCTGTGCATGCTGACATGTAGTTCAGCACTCATCTTGGTCTTGCTGTTGTATAGTAGCCTAATGCCAGGTTACATGTATGCTACATCTCAAACTGCCTCACCATTCTATTCTTTCCAGCCTCTTCTCTGAGTGCCTTTATGGTGTCTTTCCTCTACCCTTGGAGGAGTGGACTATCTATGGTCTGTGGCAGGCCAAGAGACCAACCTGTCATGTTGCTTTAACACTGATCAGACCAGTGTGGAAGTGTCCTTAATATTTGTATGAACTGTAGATTAACTTTGTGACTTCACTGTTATATTCACGTAGACTGTGAACCATTTAGAATAAATATAGGCAGGATATGAATTAATGCAAATACTGCCATAGCCTTGCGAGAGAGAATATACTGTATATCTACATCTGAAACTACTAACAAACCCTTCCTTTTTCACAGATGTCAGATGATATTACACGTAACAGACACAAACACCTAATAGGATAAGAATTGAGAAACCTCTTTCTTACAAGCATTTTCAATGATCCGGGGCCGGCAAGCCCAAGCAGGGCCTGAACCATCCCTGGCATTACTGATGATCAGGCCGAAGAGCTCACCATGCCCACCAACAGGCACAGGACGATGGACAGCACCAATCAGCCGGAGCTAGAAGAGTCCACTGGCCTACCGAGGCCACGCCCTCTGGGGTGAAGTGATGAATGGCTGGTGGAATGGAGAGAGAGGGAAGAGAGAGAGAGGGGGCAGGGAGGAGACAGAGGGGGAGGAGAGAGAGAGGGGAGAAATAGAGGGAGGGAAGAGAGGGGGGGAGGGGGAAGTGAGAGAGAGTTTAACTGAATTCTAAATATGACTTGTGCAACGTTTGTGACTAGTGGAGCAGCCTTCTTAAAAAATGCGACCACAGTAGTCTATGCAAAAATCTGTGAGTCTGACGTGAATATAATGATTTTAAAAAACACTCTGTTTGACAATTTTTTATGAGAATGAAAGGTTTACAACGAAAATGTTTTTAACACTAAAAAACTGTATTGCTCCATAGACTCCTTCTTTCGCTACTGAACTAGGCAGTGATGTCATGGATATGACTTCATATTGATTAAACTAATGGAGCATTCTAACAAGGGATTTCTATACAGAATGTGTCAACGATGTAGTGATGGTGTGGTGGGGAATCAGGCGCAGAAGCAGAGGTACAGTCCAACAAGACTTTACTATGCAAAAATAATCCACAAACGGCAGGATGCCAAACACACGATCGCACGAAACCACAGTGCGCAAAACTCTCCTAAACAGAGGAGGACACTACTAATCCTGGCGTACTGGAAAAACAACACAGCTACGCAACCATCTGACAAGCGACAATTACACACAACACTATACACACAAACAGGGAACTAAATATGGTGCATAATGAGACCTAACACAAAACAGGTGTGGCTAACAGACAAAACTAATCAAACAGGAAACACAGAACATAGAACGGTGGCAGCTAGAATTCCGGAGACGACGAACGCCGAAGCCTGCCCGAACAAGGGAGAGAGGCAGCCTCGGCCGAAACCGTGACAGAATGTACCAAATGGTATGTTCTTATATTTAAGATGTATTTAAATTGTACACATTTCCAGCTAAAAGTTGAATTGCAGCATACATAGGCCTACGTAAGTAAGTAAATAAAATACAAAATACAATATTACAGTAAAGCATTAAAGATGCAGTCTCGGGTCTTAAGCGCTTACAAATACATAACCAGGGATGGGCAGAAATTACAAAATACAATTACAAAATACCATAAAGATCAATGTACCAAAATAAATGATAAAATACTTATATTTTGAAATCTATTTAATTAAAATACATGTATTTTGTATTTTAAAATACAAAAATATATTTGCAAGTAGCCGTCCCGAACAGCAACAACATTCTCTGTAACGGTTACAGAAACATTTTACTTGCTATGACTGTGATATGTTGTTGTTTATCTACCTTAGTTGAATGCACTGACTGTACAGTATACAGTGTATGTGATTTATTTCGTGCGTAAAGGCTCTCCAAACCAGTTTTATATGCTTCATAAATACTTTCCTAAACATAAATAATCTACAAGATCAGAGTATTTTTTAATCTACCAACTGGTGTTGAATTGGAGACGAATATGCATATACACTGCTCAAAGAAATAAAGGGAACACTAAAATAACACATCCTAGATCTGAATGAATGAAATAGTCTTATTAAATACTTTTTTCTTTACATAGTTGAATGTGCTGACAACAAAATCACACAAAAATTATCAATGGAAATCAAATCTATCAACCCATGGAGGTCTGGATTTGGAGTCACCCTCAAAATTAAAGTGGAAAACCACACTACAGGCTTATCCAACTTTGATGTAATGTCCTTAAAACAAGTCAAAATGAGGCTCAGTAGTGTGTGTGGCCTCCATGTGCCTGTATGACCTCCCTACAACGCCTGGGCATGCTCCTGATGAGGTGGCGGATGGTCTCCTGAGGGATCTCCTCCCAGACCTGGACTAAAGCATCCGCCAACTCCTGGACAGTCTGTGGTGCAACGTGGCGTTGGTGGATGGAGCGAGACATGATGTCCCAGATGTGCTCAATTGGATTCAGGTATGGGGAACGGGCGGGCCAGTCCATAGCATCAATGCCTTCCTCTTGCAGGAACTGCTGACACACTCCAGCCACATGAGGTCTAGCATTGTCTTGCATTAGGAGGAACCCAGGGCCAACCGCACCAGCATATGGTCTCACAAGGGGTCTGAGGATCTCATCTCGGTACCTAATGGCAGTCAGGCTACCTCTGGCGAGCACATGGAGGGCTATGCGGCCCCCCAAAGAAATGCCACCCCACACCATGACTGACCCACCACCAAACCGGTCATTCTGGAGGATGTTGCAGGCAGCAGAACATTTTCCACGGCGTCTCCAGACTCTGTCACGTCTGTCACGTGCTCAGTGTGAACCTGCTTTCATCTGTGAAGAGCACAGGGCGCCAGTGGCGAATTTGCCAATCTTGGTGTTCTCTGGCAAATGCCAAACGTCCTGCACGGTGTTGGGCTGTAAGCACAACCCCCACCTGTGGACGTCGGGCCCTCATACCACCCTCATGGAGTCTGTTTCTGACCGTTTGAGCAGACACATGCACATTTGTGGCCTGCTGGAGGTCATTTTGCAGGGCTCTGGCAGTGCTCCTCCTGCTCCTCCTTGCACAAAGGCGGAGGTAGCAGTCCTGCTGCTGGGTTGTTGCCCTCCTACGGCCTCCTCCACGTCTCCTGATGTACTGGCCTGTCTCCTGGTAGCGCCTCCATGCTCTGGACACTACGCTGACAGACACAGCATACCTTCTTGCCACAGCTCGCATTGATGTGCCATCCTGGATGAGCTGCACTACCTGAGCCACTTGTGTGGGTTGTAGACTCCGTCTCATGCTACCACTAGAGTGAAAGCACCGCCAGCATTCAAAAGTGACCAAAACATCAGCCAGGAAGCATAGGAACTGAGAAGTGGTCTGTGGTCACCACCTGCAAAACCAGTCCTTTATTGGGGTGTCTTGCTAATTGCCTATAATTTCCACCTGTTGTCTATTCTATTTGCACAACAGCATGTGAAATGTATTGTCAATCAGTGTTGCTTCCTAAGTTGACAGTTTGATTTCACAGAAGTGTGATTGACTTGGAGTTACATAGTGTTGTTTAAGTGTTCCCTTTATTTTTTTGAGCAGTGTATTTAGATGGCTTTCTTTCATTGATCCCTAATATTCTGAACCTGTTCTCTCCATATATTCTAGTCTGTCGACAACATTTTTACTAAAAGGTACAACGTATGTTAAGGGATGGCTTATGATAAATGTACTGAGAACCCTATTGAATGAAAACTCAACGAGAAAATCTGTTGGCAAGCAAGTGGAAGGGTTTTCAGAGGTTGAATGAAATTTATTCCGAGTGTGCACGGTAGCCACACCTTCAGATATACTGAGAAGTGCATAGGAAAGGCGTGGGTAGGAAGGGGTAATTTCCTATGTCCGAATCAGCCCCTAACAGAAGCAAACCTATGCACATGCACAAATACTGTATTTGACTATGTGAGAGCGAAGTCTTGCATCTCGCACATCTCAATATCTGTGGTGCTGCTCGTGGCGACGTCATTTCACTGAGTCTACCTTTAAAAGTAACAAAATGTTAGTTCTTGAATTATGGCTCTTACAATTCTGGCCCCTAACTAGCTAGGTGGAGATCATACCAATTACTCATAACTCAATCTGTGTCAAGGAAATCGGCCCTATATGTTTCAGCAAAGCCTAAACTGTCGGCCTACTAGAACAAACAAGAGTATAGATATTTATTTAAAGAACAATAAACACAAAAACGTAGAGCTCTCAAAAACTTTGAAAAATTCCTAAACTGTCATGAAACATACACAGTGTCTTTTGAAAACTTATTTTGCGGTTTATTAGTGCAGTAAACATAAACTGGAAATAATTTTCCGTAGTTAAAATTCAAGGATTGGCATGTAAGAATATGTACATTGATACAAACAACGATAGCTATAAAATACAAAACAATTCATAGGGTAGACCAAAAAGTTACCAGAAGCATTAAAAAAAAAAGAAGCTAAAGGTTGTATGTTCACCCGTTAACCACAACTTTGAGTCCTTTTGAAATGTATTTGATTGATGGCATATTTTGCAGTTATCCAGAGGGTGTGTTGTGCTGTTCTATGCAGTGCGAGTTCCACCACTGTTTCCTCTGCTAGCCCCAGCGATGGAGGAGCCACCCCCAGGACGAGAGCCACCCCCAGGACGACCTCTGCTACCCCCCTTGGAATCTTTTCTACCCCCCTTAGAGCCCCTGGAGCCTCCGCTGGCGTTGCTTCTTCTTGTCCGAATCTTCTGCTGTAATCATTAAAAATATTAATAAAAAAATGAAACATCTGATTTATTTTAACCTGACTAATCGGAAAAAGTTATTATTACAAGAGATGCATGTTTACTTTATCAAGACACCAGAATTTCAGCATCCATGAAAATCATAAGCTGCTAAGCATATAATGCACTTTTCACATCTGCATTTATTTATTTATTGCGATGAACTGTTCTGACAGTGTTAGGCTACTATTATCATTACATCATAACTAATATAGGTAGGGAGATGTTGAGAAATAACTTGCAGTGCTCAGTACCTGCACAGCATCTTCTGCCTCCATGTATTCACAAGAAATGTCAGACAGGTCAGTGTTGAGGGTGTTGCTGGCCTCCAGAATCGGATATCTGACCTCCATGCTGCACATCATTCGTTTCTATAGAGGAAGGAGTCATTGTCAGTTAGCCATTTGCCAATCTCAGCATATTATTGGTGATTTCTTGCTTCCCATGATTATTATTTCCCACAATACTGTACAATCCAATTGTTCTTACCCCATTTTTCTTCAGAGGGCATGGTTTGCCTTGCAGCCCTTGTGCCTTACTGCAGAGAGTCTCCTGCAGGGGGAAGCTCAACCTTACAGACACATCAGACTGGTCCACATCCTCTGTATTCAACTGGGATCAGAGAGACAAACTCAGTATTGTCATTTATTTCAATGGTCATTTCCCCCCTATTGAGTCTATTTCTTTTCCATGAAAAAGTATATGAAAATGTTTCCATGCTGGTGCATATTAAACAGACAATTATCCCTTGACTTGACTGAAAGAAAACTATTTAACAAACCATGACACATAAACGTTGTTGTGCCCATCAGCACTGTGTAAATAAGAGGAGGGAAACGTTCATACTGTCTGAATACTCACAGTCTCGACTTCCAGCTGGTTCAGAAGCGGACGGAAAGCCTGCTCTTCCCCAGGAAGCAGCTGAGTTGAAGCAGCTGTGATGATGTCTTCATACCTGGTCTCCGTCTGTGTCTGACCTCTGACCAGCAGGACAGCCACAGCGAGCAAGAGGAGCGATCTCACCAGAGCCTTCATCTTCATGTCTGATTCCTACTCTGAGATCCACTTCTGTTTTATAGTCTCTGTTGCTCTTAGAGGAAAACCCAGGGTTGAGCAATCCAGACTTTTGGGAAACCACTGCCTGTGGGATAGTCCGTGTTTACTGTGTGTGCCAGAGAGTTAAACATTCAAAACAAGGTCATACTCAGTCAGCATTCTCAACATATTTTTCTGCTCTTTTTCCTTTCATTTGCTCTTTGTTTCAGGGTCTTTTATGCTCTTATCAGAGATAAGTCCCTACGGGGACTGTGTGAAATAGAGTATAAATATGTATTTTAAACAGCATAAAGCTCAATAAACACAAAAACTTGGAATTCCTAAACTGCCATGAAACATGAAATAAATAACACTTTTCACAGACAGTAGATTTTGTGAACTTATTTTGAAGTTTATTAGTGTGGTAAACCAACTGAAAAGAATTTCAGTAGTTAAAATGAAACAATTCGCATGTAAGATTACAGTGCCTTGCAAAAGTATTCATCCCCCTTGGCGTTTTTCCTATTTTGTTGCATTACAACCTGTAATTTAAATTGATTTTTATTTGGATTTCATGTAATGGACATACAGAAAATAGTCCAAATTGTTGAAGTGAAATGAAAAAAATAACTTGTGTTCTTGAACATAGCTCTGTTTCTTTGTGTTCTTGAACGTAGCCCTTTCTTTCATTTTTGTTCATTGATTTCACCTGAGTTAGTTACTCACCTGGTCTCATTAGCTCCTTATTTAGTTCAGTTATAGCGTTCAGTCCTAGTTTTTGATTCTCCTGCCTGTTTGCCTACCTGTGTATGACCATTGCCTGCCTGTGACCACGATTCCTGCCTTTTGCGAAGGCGAAATAAACACCTGCCGCGCTCTGCACGTGAATCTACACCTTTTTTCTACCTGCGTATTCATTACAATATACACCTGTTCTGAAAGGCCCAAGAGTCTGCAACACCACTAAGCAAGGGGCACCACCAAGCAAGCGGCGCCATGAAGAGCAAGGAGCTCTCCAAACAGGTCAGGGACAAAGTTGTGGAGAAGTACAGATCAGGGTTGGGTTATAAAAAAGTATCAGAAACTTTAAACATCCCACGGAGCAGCATTAAATCCATTATTTAAAAATAGGAAGAATATGGCACCCCAACAAACCTGCCAAGAGAGGGCCGCCCACCGAAACTCACGGACCAGGCAAGGAGGGCATTAATCAGAGAGGCAACAAAGAGACCAAATATAACACTGAAGGAGCTGCAAAGCTCTGCAGCGGAGATTGGAGTATCTGTCCATAGGACAACTTTAAGCCGTACACTCCACAGAGCTGGGCTTTACGGAAGAGTGGCCAGAAAAAAGCCATTGCTTAAAGAAAAAAATAAGCAAACACGTTTGGTGTTCGCCAAAAGGCATGTGGGAGACTCCCCAAACATATGGAAGAAGGTACTCTGGTCAGATGAGACTAAAATTGAGCTTTTTGGCCATCAAGGAAAACGCTATATCTGGTGCAAACCCAACACCTCTCATCACCCCGAGAACACCATCCCCACAGTGAAGCATGGTGGTGGCAGCATCATGCTGTGGGGATGTTTCTCATCGGCAGGGACTGGGAAACTGGTCAGAATTGAAAGAATGATGGATGGCGCTAAATACAGGGAAATTCTTGAGGGAAACCTGTTTCAGTCTTCCAGAGATTTGAGACTGGGACGGAGGTTCACCTTCCAGCAGGACAATGACCCTAAGCATACTGCTAAAGCAACACTCGAGTGGTTTAAGGGGAAACATTTAAATATCTTGGTATGGCCTAGTCAAAACCCAGACTTCAATCCAATTGAGAATCTGTGGTATGAATAGTTATGCATGCTCAAGTGTTCTGTTTTTTTGTCTTATTTCTTGTTTGTTTCACACAAAAAAAATATTTTGCATCTTCAAAGTGGTAGGCATGTTGTGTAAATCAAATGATACAAACCCCCCCAAAAATCCATTTTAATTCCAGGTTGTAAGGCAACAAAATAGGAAAAATGCCAAGGGGGATGAATACTTTCGCAAGCCATTGTAGGTATTCCTCTTGTCCAGATGGGATAGGGCAGTGTGCAGTGTGATGGTGATTGCATCGTCTGTGGATCTATTTTGGCGGTAAGCAAATTGAAGTGGGTCTAGGGTGACAGGTAAGGTAGAGGTGATATGATCCTTAACAAGTCTCTCAAAGCACTTCATGATGACAGAGGTGAGTGCTACGGGGCGATAGTCATTTAGTTCAGTTTCCTTTGCTTTCTTGGGTACAGGAACAATGGTGGCCATCTTGAAGCATGTGGGAATAGCAGACTGGGGAAGGGAGAGATTGAATATGTCCGTAAACACACCAGCCAGCTGGTCTGCGCATGCTCTGAGGACGTGGCTAGGGATGCCGTCTGGGCCGGCAGCCTTGCGGGGGTTAACATGCTTAAATGTCTTACTTACGTCAGCCACGGAAAAGGACAGGCCACAGTCCTTGGTAGTGGGACTCGTCGGTGGCACTGTGTTATCCTCAAAGCGGGCGAAGAAGGTGTTTAGCTTGTCTGGAAGCGAGACGTCGGTGTCGGCCACGTGGCTGGTTTTCCTTTTGTAGTCCGTGATTGTCTGTAGACCCTGCCACATACGTTTCGTGTCTGAATGTCTTAATATCACAGCTATTAAACTCTGTAACTGTTTTAAAGTCACAATTGGCCTCATGGTGAAATCACTGAGCAGTTTCCTTCCTCTCCGGCATCTGAGTTAGGAAGGACGCCTGTATCTTTGTAGTGACTGGGTGTATTGATACACCATCCAAAGCGTCATTAATAACTTCACCATGCTCAAAGGGATATTCAATGTTTTTTATTTTTTATTTTACCCATCTGCCAATAGGTACCCTTCTTTGCGAGGCCTCCCTGGTCTTTGTGGTTGAATCAGTGTTTGAAATTCACTGCTCGACTGAGGGACCTTACAGATAAATATATGTGTAGGTATTGAGATGAGGTAGTCATAAACAAAATCATGTTAAACACTATTATTGCACTTATTATGTGACTTGTTAAGCAAATGTTTACTCCTGAACTTATTTAAGCTTTCCATGACAAAGCTTTTGAGTAGAAAATACTTTAAACATAATTCCAAGGGGTGTGAATACTTGCTGAAGGCACTGTATATTGCTAAATTCGATGTATCTATATATATATATATATATATATATATATATATATATATATATATATATATATATATATATATATATATACACTGCATTCGGAAAGTATTCAGACCCTTTGACTTTTTCCACGTTTTTTTTCACCAATCTACACATAATACTCCATAATGACAAAGCAAAAACAGGTTTTTTGAAATGTCTGCACATTAATTAGAAATATTAAACTTAAATAATACATTTACATGAGTATTAAGACCATTTACTCAGTCCTTTGTTGAAGCACCTTTGGCAGCGATTATAGCCTCGAGTCTTCTTGGCATTGACACTACGAATTTGGCACACCTGTATTTGGGGAGTTTCCCCCATTCTTCTCTGCAGATCCTCTCAAGCTCTGTCAGGTTAGGTGGGGATCGTCGCTGCACAGCTATTTTCAGGTCTCTCCAGAGATGTTCGATCGGGTTCAAGTCCGGTCTTTGGCTGGGCCACTCAAGGACATTCAGAGACTTGTCCTGAAGCCACTCCTGCGTTGTCTTGGCTGTGTGCTTAGGGTTGTTGTCCTGTTGGAAGGTCAACCTTCGCCCCAGTCAGAGGTCCTGTGCGCTCTGGAGCAGGTTTTTTATCAAGGATCTCTCTGTACTTTGCGCCGTTCATATTTCCCTCAATCCTGACTAGTCTCCCAGTCCCTGCCACTGAAAAACATCCACACAGCATGATGCTGCCAGGTTTCCTCCAGACGTGACGCTTTGCAATCAGGCCAAAGAGTTCAATCTTGGTTTCATCAGACCAGAGAATCTTGTTTTTCATGGTCTGAGAGTCTTTTAGGTGCCTTTTGGCAAACTCCAAGCGGGCTGTCATGTGCCTTTTACTGAGGAGTGGCTTCCGTTTGGCCACTCTACCATCATTGATTGATGGAGTGCTGCAGAGATGGTTTTCCTTCTGGAAGGTTCTCCCATCGCCACAGAGGAACTCTCGAGCTCTGTCAAAGTGACCATCGGCTTCTTGGTCACCTCCCTGACCAAGGCCCTTCTCCCCCGATTGCTCAGTTTGGCCGGGCTGAGGTCGGGTGAGGTCGGGTGATTATGGAGGCCAGGTAATCTGATGCAGCACTCCATCACTCTCCTTCTTGGTCAAATAGCCCTTACCCAGCCTGGAGGTGTGTTTTGGGTCATTGTCCTGTTGAAAAACAAATGATAGTCACACTAAGCCCAAACCAGATTGGATGGCGTATCGCTGCAGAATGCTGTGGTAGCCATGATGGTTAAGTGTGCCTTGAATTCTAAATAAATCACAGACAGTGTCACCAGCAAAGCACCCCCACACCATCACACCTCCTCCTCCATGCTTCATGGTGGGAACCACACATGCGGAGATCATCCATACACCTACTCTGCGTCTCACAAAGACACGGTTGTTGGAACCAAACATTTCAAATTTGGACTCATCAGACCAAAGGACAGATTTCCACCGGTCTAATGTCCATTGCTCGTGTTTCTTGGCCCAAGCAAGTCTCTTTTTCTTATTGGTGTCCTTTAGTAGTGGTTTCTTTGCAGCAATTCGACCATGAAGGCCTGATTCATACAGTCCCCTCTGAACAGTTGATGTTGAGATGTGTCTGTTACTTGAACTCTGTGAAGCATTTCTTTGGGCTGCAATCGGAGGTGCAGTTAACTTTAATGAACTTATCCTCTGCAGCAGAGGTAACTCTGGGTCTTCCTTTCCTTTGGCAGTCCTCATGAGAGCCAGTTTCATCAGAGCGCTTGATGTATTTTGTGACTGCACTTGAAGGAACTTTTAAAGTTCTTGAAATGTTCTGGATTGACTGACCTTCATGTCTTAAAGTAATGATGGATTGTCGTTTC